TTTACAATTTTGTTAGCAAGTCAATAAGTTCCCTAAATCCTCACAAGAATAGAGGGGATGGTCCCTAATCACGAAAACTAGGGTCTGAAACCAAGAGTCTTTCAATTTATCAAAAGACCATTCTATGCCCAATGAAAGCTCTTCTGTTCTTTTCTTTCTATATGACTCACAAGGTAGCCAAAGGGATAAGGTCAAAACTCTCGTCAGCCTAATCTCCTTTCCTCATGGAAGAGGGCTGTGGAGGAGGATTCTCATGCTTAGATCGTGTTTTCTTTACTGTATAAAATGGAAGCTGGGCCAAGGGAATATGATTAATTTCTGGGAAGAAAATTGGGTGGGAGATGGCAACCTAAAGGGAAGATTTCCTAATATCTTCAGCATCGCTCAAAACAAAAATTTGCTGGTTGAGGAGGCTTATCAGGTTTCTAATGGGATGGTTGTTTGGTCCATAAATCTTAACAGGAATTTGAATGATTGGGAGTTGGAGAATATGAAAATTTGTTATAGTTGCTGGCCACCTTGACTGTTTCTACTGGTGATGATCTGCCTTTGTGGACTTTGGAAAAAAATTTGTCCTTTTCTGTGTCTTCTTTCTACAATTTTTTGTGCTTGAAGAATAATGCTGCTGAATGCCCTTTTCCAGCCAAACAAATTTGGAAAACTAAGGCTCCCTCTCGTGTTGCTTTTTTTGCTTGGGAGGCTTGCTAGGAAAAAATATTAACTTTCGATAAGCTGAAGAGGAAGGGGTGCATCATTGTCAATGCTTGCTACTGCTGTTTGAGGGCGGAGGAAACATGCAATCACCTTCTATTATGGAGTCCAACTGCCTACAGACTGTGGACTTTTGTGTATGCTATTTTGGGTATTATTGGGTCATCTGGGTCGGTGGGGTGAGAGATTTGGGCTTGGGATAGTTTAAATGTTAAAAACAATTTAGCTATGTAATTCCTTTAACAGTTTTTTGGGTTACATGGAAAGAAAAGAATAATAGAGCTTTTGAGTGTGAGGAAAGTAGTTTTTCTAGGCTAAAAGATGGATGACCGAATTATTTTGGATCCATTTTATTAAGTCACGACATTATTAGTGATGAGGATTTTGGGAATGTCATTGAAATACTAACTTTATTGTAAATCTTTTATACATGAGTGGTACTCCCGTTTTGTAGGTATGTTGTTAATATAGAGTTTACTTTTTATTTCAAAAAAAAAAGGCCAAAACTCTTATCCCCATGAATGCTCTTCCAAGCCCAAAGCTTCTCCTAGAATTCTCCTACTGGTTATAATGTTTTGTTTATTGCCTCTTGGGGGCGAATCTGATTTCACTAGACCACTATTTCTTGTTCCCTCTTACACATGGAGAGAAAGTACTTTTCTAGTAAAATGCAAGTAGAGTCCATGCAAGATGGTTTGCATTGCATTGCAATGCGATGCAAGATATATATGCTACTAGTTTTTCAACTGAAAAAGCATGGTTAATAGCCACTCTTATTCAAGAATGTCTTTCTAGTTTTTCTCTATATTTTTTTCTCTCTATTAAGAATTCAAAGGGATGTAGTTGACAGTATTGAGAAAGCAACAAGAACATTCCTCTAATCTGGTGCAGGAGATGTTTCAAGAGATCATTTAATAGTATGGGAGGTGTGTTTTTGTTCTAGGAAGGATAGGGACATGGACATTAGGAACCTTGTGCCTAGGACTTCCATTTTTTTTCTGTGAGCCTTTCCTATACGGAGACAGATGATTTGTTAATCCTGTTAACCCTGCTAGAACCTTATATGTATTTGCAACAACCCGATTGCAGACTTTGGACCTTGAAACCATCCAGAATATATAACTGGAAGTCCTTCTTTCAGTACATAACCCAACACCCTAACTATTGCAATTCCTTTTGCCAATACTAATGAGTTGTTGCAAATGCATGACTCCATCAAGCTCTTTTACCATATATTTGTCCTATCGGTCGTCACTGTGATGAGGCACACAACATGATAAGACATGGAGGTTGTGGGTGAGGTTATCTGACATGTTTGGGCTAAGGAAGGTAGCAAAATCTGTGTGTAGGATGTGACCAATTTGGTTAGAGAGGAATTGGAGGACCTTTGAATATTGTTATTTGTTGAATCAAGATTATGGAAGAGGATAATCTTTTTGGCATCCCTATGAGCAAGGCCCATGGAAAATTTTCTGATATTGCCCACTCTATGCTATATAGAAACTGGGGAGCGACAACTTTTTACCCCTAGCGTGTTTGATTGTAAGTTTGTTTTTATGCTCTTTCGAGCTTTTTGGTAGAGACTCCAGGAGGATATCTAATTATCCGCAATTGTAATTATTCCATTTTTATCTTAATAATACTTCTTTTCTATAAAAAAAAATTTGTCCTTATTGGCTAAGGTTATGAGAAGCTTTAGTCAGATTGGAATAATTTAAAAACTGGTTTTTCTATTTCCTACAAAAGCCTTGGAAAGCAATATCTCAAACTTATGACTCTTTTCTTCCATTGACCAAGTTGAGAATAGCAAGTGGATCTCCTATTTTGCTTTGGGGGCCCATGGATTGGTAATCTCCCTTTAGCTACCCATCCCCTCATCTTGATAACCTTCCTATTGCTATAAACTCCTCTTCACTTCATATTCCAAGTTGACAATCATCTATTGCAATCTATTCCTTCATAAAAACTTGAATGATCTTTATGTTGTTAATATGCTCTCTCTAACTCAAGTTCTTGAATCGGTCATTTTCTCTTCAACTCTAGATCGTAGAGTTTGGTCGTTATTTTCCTCCAGCATTATTTTTGCAAATTTTCTTTGCCTTTTTAACCCATAACCCTTCTATTCAAAATGATGCCCTTAATCAATGTTTTCTGAAGGTTGTTGATCCCTAATGTTAAGGTTTATTTTGGACTAAGGTTTTTATTTGCTTAAAGCTGAGACATATGATAGCAAAATGTATGCTAAAAGAAAGCGAGAAATGAAAGCACTCTACGGTTGTCTTCTTCCTTTTTATTTACTTATTTTTTTAGATAGAAACAGATATATTATTAGTAAAGAAAAAGATGCAGAGGATTAATATGCTCACATAGAATGAAACAAGAATGAAGAATGAAAACCTCATAGCACATCCACATATATCCAGAAAATAGCTCTATGCAAACATTGCATCTAAAGCAGACAATTTGGTCTCACTATTATTAAGTTGTGAAATCTAGATAAATAAACTTGATCTTTGAGGGGACTTTCACCTGCCAAAAGAATTAGTAAAAACTATATTACCAGCAATAGGGTTAGGAGTCAAGAAGATGAAAAAGATTCCAAGAACATGAACCCAAAAACTCTAGAGACCTAGCTCCCTTACAAGAATTAGGTGAAGGATGGAAAGACTCGAGGAAATTAATTAAGGCTGCCAGGTCAAAAGTCTCACTCTCATTATTTTTTATTTTTTTGTTTTTAAAATAAAAATTCCAAGTAAAATGAGAACCTTATGAATAATAAAGGGAGTAATAGGATGATGACATGAGGAAGCGAAGACATTAAGTGGAGGAGAGACAGGACTCTGTATACCAATTATCTTTCAGAAATACGAAACAAGAGTCATCCCCCACCCTAAGTCGAAGCAAAGGATAAATAGAGGCATGAATACTTGTTTACTCACCCCATGGAAGTCATTCTTCTATGATCAGAACTTCAGAAGGTTCCAAGTGATGTTGTCAGAAAAAGAACTTGATTTATGAACTGTTTTTCGACTGAAAGGACAAACCCTAGGTTTCCTGAAGAAGGAATTGAACTATTGAATAGACTGTTCTAAAAGATCCGTGTAATGTCCCTTTCACCAGCAGAAATTGCTGCCAAAGTCATTTCCTTTTCTAGAAATACACTGTAGGAAACCATTTACTTTTTCAATAGACAAGAGAAATGCATGTGTTAAGAAAGTATGAAGGCTGCCACCAGTTTTAAAATGGATCCCATATAACCAGGTAGAAGAGAAAAGGTCCACCAGGTCTAGTAACTCCCCTTAAGTATGACCATTAGACCATCCGCAAAAAATTTGCTCTCAGATGTCTCTACTCGAAGTAATTTGGCCATTCTCTTCAAAAGTTGTCCTATTACTAGAACTTTGTGCCAACTCAACTCTCTGCACAGATAACGATAAGCAACGTAATTGGCCACCCAAGGACAGGATCAAGGTAAATGCAGCAATATCTCTGGAGAGAAAACTGTACTGCAAAGGAGCAATTTCATCGCAAAGTTCTACAATCCTAACATATTTCAAAAATAGTAATGAAAAATGTTGTGCTAGTTAAGTTGAAATTCATATAAAACGCATTCCATCAAGAAAATGCTATTCCAACATCTGAAAAACCCTGTCCTCTTCCCTGTCAACTGCAAATCAATTGGCTTCTCATACCTGTGGAAAAACACCATTTGTTTGTCGGCTGTTCCCATAGAGAGAAACACACCATCTCTTTTTTGCCTTGGGAGCAAAAAATTCAGCAACAAAATTTCTCCAAAACTCTATGTTGTTATCCTGCATAAAAGTGACATGATTGTCTTAATAATCAACAGAAAAAAAAAAGAATAAAGGTCATCCAATGGATTAAAGCATCATACATCAGGCCTACACTGCTGCTGATGCATTAATTGAGTCAAACGCCGAGCACATGTTCCTGGTTCATAAACTGGCCTACCAGCAGATCTAACAGGCATATTCTGTTGCTGAAACTGTTGGCGAAGTTGGGGCCGCTGCTGAGGGTATGCTTTCAACACCTGCTGCTGATACTGATGCTGCTGCTGCTGTTGCTGCATCTGCAAAATCTGCTGCTGCTGCAGGATATTCATCTGTGCAGGAGCAGCAGGAGAAGACTGCTTGGACAACTGGAGGAATTGCTGCTGCTGCTGCTGCTGTTGCTGCTGCTGCTGCTGTTGTTGCTGCTGCAAAAACATTGCCTGATCGGAATGTTGGCGTTCCAATTTAACAACTCCAACGCCCCGTCCAATCTGATTCTGCTGCGGCTCTAGTTTCACTGCCCCAAGGTCTCTCAAAGGCGGCAACTGTTGCTGTGGACCAATTGCATCACTCATAGTCTGTGGCTCCAACTTTACATGACCTCCAACACCACACCCCCCTTGAATTGACTGGAACTGAGGTTGCCGCTGCTGTGGTTGGCTGTGGGAAGTGGGATACTGCTGCATAGACTGCTGTGCAAGCTGGAATTTCTGCATGTCAAATTGCTGAACTTGAGATGGTTGATGAGTAGTTAGCACAGGATTTCCAGATGAGTTTGATAGTTGCTGATTTTGAACTTGGGCAGATGAAACAGAATTTGCCACGCTTGCTGATGCAAACGGTGAAGGAGAAGCACTGAACGGAACATCAGTTGCAACAACAGAAAATGGATCAGAATCAGCAGTACTATCAAAACTTCCCCTTTGAAAACCACCTAAACCAGATAGGCCAGAGTTTGCACCCCCATTAGCAAAACCCTGATTGAGAAGAGAGGAAACGTTGGCAGTATTCCCAATCAAATTCATGTTATACTGTGACTGTGGTGAAACGAGTGAAGAAAATGTAGTCTGTGGGTGAATAGGACCACCTTGAGAACCCAAAATGGTAGAATTCGATCGCAAAAGAACAGGTGAGATAGATTGAGCACCACTTATTGGATTTGAAGACCCAGATGGCACCATCTTGTCAAACATGAAACTAAAACACGTGTGAAACCCAGCAAACTGACCTCGTACTCAACGAAGTCAATCTATCCAGGCATCCAAATGAGATTATCTTGGAAGTTAGGGAGCAAAACCCAAACCTCGCTGAACCCAACTGCTGAACATATGCAACCCTAAAAGCCCCTTATTAGAATTTCTCACCAATTTGCACACAAATGAAGAGTTCTCTCCTGAACGACAAGAGAGGTTGTGGAATTTGGGAAAAGCAATCAGTGGGCCACGCTTTTCTCATGAACATTCCAGAATCATTTCCAAGAAAACAGCAATTTTTGCAACAGCCTGAGGCCAACCTTTGAAGAATATATTGAGCTTAGAACAACAAAGGCTCGAACTGACCTACAAATATAGAAAGTTTACCCTGAATGAATCATCCATAAAATTAGGTATACTCACATAAATACAAAAATATGTTTACATATAAACACATTGATGTACCAGCTGTATGCCATAATGGACAGATTCAAAATTCAAAAGATGTAATATCAAACTCCAGGGAAATTGAAGTTAACAATAGTAAGTTCTAAAAATAACTGGAAAAAATCGAAAGAAAGATGAGATGCAATAACTAGGATTTCCTATCTGAAGTAGCTCTGTCCGGTTACGAAAAAAATTAGCCAAATATTAGACCATCAACCAATTGCGCCTAATACCGCAACCATTACCAAGCCCAATGAGTTCATCCTCCATTCCCAATCCTCAACAACCGAATTCCCGACAATCAAAGCAGCAGTTTAAAAAAATCCATTTATTTTCCCAGCAACCAAACAGAAAACCCGAAATCCAAAGAATGAGAATCAGCGAAAGAAAAGAACATCGATCACACTGCATTTGACGAACCAAGGAGCAAAATGCTAACACATGCATAAGAATACAAACAACTCTTCATATTAATTTCACAAAATTCACAATCTACACTTGACCCAAACCTCAAAACTCTTCTTCAATTCTTAAAAACATAAATTAAAAAAACATACCTAAACAAGCAAGAGGAGAAAGAACTCACAGTCGCGGCAGTCCATAAAATTTTGAGCAGATGTTGACTCTCCAAGGAAAAAAAAATCTCAGAAGAAAACAAAACCCAAAACAAAGCCGCTCAAAATATATAATATTAAACAGGAGATTATTTTGTCTTATAATGCTATAACTAGTATAAAATATTAGACACTGATTCTTCAATTTTTAAAATGTTTCCCTTTAATCTTTTAATTGAATAGATTACTCCGTACAAATTCAACCCTTTTTCTATCTCTCAGTAACCGAGTCTTCCTTTACTTTTCTCTTCCACTTACTTTCTGGTCCTCGCTGCTTCACTCCATTCAGTCTGTACTGCACTCCACACTCTTTATGCTGCACGGAGAGAGAAGGAGATGAGAGTGTTGCTTCTCTGTCACGGACGTCAAAATTCCTTATGGGTTGGATTCAATTTTTAGGTTTACTTTTTATATAAACATAATATGATTTTTTTTTTCTTATAAAAATTAAATTTTTATTTCATAAATGGTAAATTGTTAAATTTTCAATTTATTATTATATATTGGGGGAGTTATAATGAGCGGAGCATGTCATGTGCATGCTCGCATACATCATCATTCCATGATTATGACTCATGTGGTCTCATCAAATTTAATTTTGGATATTTTAGTAATTATATAAGAAATAAAATGAGTTTGGCATTTTTTGAGTTTGAAATACCAAAACAAAAAACTTTTATTTGATGTCTTAACAAAAACACTCTAATTTTTCTTCATATGTTTTTATGTCTCATTCTTTATATATATATATATATATATATATATATATATATGCTTATAATAATCAAAATCACATGCATTAAAAACAATTTTTTTACATGTTTTTTCAGCTTATCTACTTGTAAAAATAATTTAAATTTTTTATTTTACAATTTTGTATAATTTCAATACATAAAATAATATAATATTTTAAAAATAAAAAATATTTAAAAAATAAGAATAAATTTGATTTATTATTTTTTATTTAAAATACTTATAAACATAATCATCGTTTAAATAAAAATAAAATATTTTAAAGTATAAAAATAAATATTTCTCATCTCATTTTTCAAGTAATTTATTACTAACATCATTTGACTTCAATAATTTTGATTAAATGTGTTAAAGTCTAAATATATCTTATATCATTATTAGTAAACTCGGTTTATGATTTTAAATAAGAAAAAAGTTCATAACTACTATCATAGGTTTTTTAAGATTGTAGCAAATGTCGCCATATAATTTTAATTTAAATGGTAATCTTTATATAATTTACTATATTTTTAATTAAAATTCTATCAATATTATACTTATGATATGTGGGCACATATTGAATAGAATTAAATTGGAGTCAAATAGAAATTATCTTTATATCAAATAGTCATATATGGGTTAAATAAAGTCCAAATTTGAGTTTGAATGAAGGTAGGTAGGAGTCACACGAACTTTAATTGAATGCACTTTTGCATGTTTATTTCATAATTCAATATAGTAAATTAAATTTAGATTTTTATTACCAAATTTTATAAAAATATATTGTTATTATCTTTTTTATGAGAAAATACGCCACTTCATCAATCAAACCAATAAATAACCATTATACTATAACATAAGAGTCAAGAAAATAAGAGGCTTCAGAAAGAAATAAGAGAATCATGGCCATTTAAAGTTTTTTTAAATAAATTATATTACACAATATTACAAATTTCAGGAATCCAAATAAAAAAACTAAAATCAAATTGCAAAAGAAAAATAAGATAACATATGCCAATAGTAATCCTAACTCTGAAAAAATGATTGCATGGGTTTAGATGTATATAAAGACTATACATTCAACTTGGAAGTTTGTAATACCAAGCCTTGCACTGATATCATGTTCATAGAATAATGACATAGTTTCAACAACTTCTATTTAGGATGTAGTAGATACACGATTCATAGCTATAAAGATGACTGTATTATTTTAATTATGATAGATAATGTTAAGACATACATGCTTTACAAAGCCCATTAGTATTGCATAGTTCGACTTATATATATATATATATATATGTTGGCGATGGAGACCAAACACTTAAGTAGTGAGTATGTATTGTCTCGTCTGTTTGCTTAACTTGTCTCATTTAGGCTCCATCTCTAAGTGGTATTCTTGTAATTTAAGAATTAGTACCAGTATCTTGTCACGCCACGATACTCGATATTAGACGCAATTCCTATTCATATCATTTCATGCAGTAGGCCCATAAAATATATACATCCATAGATAAAAAATTTAAAATATAACCTAGTATCCTATGTGGTATGTACAGTAATTATATATACAAAACATGAAATCAGAATTTAGAGTATAATATAATAAAATAAAACTTTTCGAATATGCACAAAATATACAAAATAATAACCATTTTACTGGTTCTACTCGTATGACAGGGGTACTGGCTCTTTATTCTTCTCTTTTAAATATCAATGTGAAATTTAATGAGTTTCACCAACTCAATAAGTGTTCTCATTCCCTCAACCCAAATAAAATTTTAAGCAAAACACACAGTAAGAAATAAAAGCAATAAAAATATTTCAGTGCAAAATTCATATTCTTATTTTTACTATTTCATATGTTCCTGATCGATCTGATGAATTCTCTCAAATATCATATATAAACCTCAACTGTATATTCTCATACTCTCGAAAGTTATAAATGTACTTGAATATTAATCCTCATTTCGAAATATAACCACACACATAAAAGATTACAGATACGCTCGAACGGTCATTTGTATGGTTTTATCGTGCGATACTGTTTATGTCATTATTGAGGAAAAGTAAAACAGATCCCCCCCCCCCCCCCATCGCATGGATAGCACATACACACAAATCACACAATGGCCACAACAGGTACTTTTGCTAAGTGACCCACACTCACACGAATGCTTATCCAAGTTTGAATTAGGTTTCAAACTCTATCCATGTGCAGGTTTACCATGTTCGCTGAACTTCAACCACACACTCACACTCCCCTCCTCGATTCAGACTAAACGAGAAGGTATTTAGGGTCGTTACCTTATTCACTCCTACCCTCTCATTCCAAAATTCTTAATTTGTTTAAATGATCATTTCTTAAGCTCAATTATTTTTTTTCCTTTATATTTTTACTTTTTTATTTTGTTCTATTAAACTCTAAATTTTAATCTCATGTTTTGTATATACAGCTACTGTACATATCACATGGATCTATGTTATATTATAAATTTTGTATCTATGCATGCATATATTTTATGGGCCCACTGCATGAAATGACATGAGTAAGAATAGTACCTCATATCGAGTATCAGGGCATGACATATAGTATCAGAGCCTACATTCTTAGAATCATCCCTTGTGTATGAGGTTTTAATGTTTAAAAATAATATTTATATGTTCTGCTAGTTGGAAATATTGTACTAACATCTGTATCCACTAATATTTAGTACTAATAGCTCTAATTTATTGTTTCTATAAAGCCATAATTTCGCCTCCGCCATATTTTTAGAGACCAACTGTAATATTCGACCTCGAAATTTGGTTCAGGATCAATTTTCGTGTTATAAAAATAATTAAACTATTAATTTAATTTTATTTTATTAAATTATCTGAGAAAAATAGGTTAGAGACATAATTGATAATAATTTTGGAGAAAAATTGGTGAAAATTTAAGTTCGGGTGGTATTTTTGAAATAAAAATTAAAAATAAAGGATCAAAATGCAAAAAAAAAAAAATTCAGCCTCGTGGAACGGCCAATTCAGTAGCCCCGACGAATCAAAATATGACGCGTGGTAAAACACGCTGATGTCGGCGCCATGTAGGAGGCCACGCGGGCGATCTGCATGCCCAGCAATCCGACGGTCTAGATTTGATCCTGCGCACGTGAACGGCTCAGATGCATTCTCTCTCTAGGCACAATCAGATGAACGAGATCAATCGCAATTAATGACCTAGATTCGCCCATGAAATAAGCTTAAACATGTAACGATCGGACGACTCTCATCACTTTATATCGACGTAAATGGACAGCTACGATCGACGCGAGATAACTGTATAAACATTGTGTCACAGGGGAACCCTAACCCTAACTACCTTGCCTTCCCAGAAAAGAAGGACCAGCCGCTGGAGAACGAGACCGATCCCCGGCCGTTGCTGCACTATAACCACCGTCAACTACCAAAAAAAGTAAAATTCTCTCATACCCACTTTGAATTCGATTCCAAGTCTCTCCATGACCATATCAGAGCAAAAGGGATGACAGGTGACCCAAAAATTACAGGCAAAGCCCAGCGGAACTGCCATGGCCGAAATCCTAAAACCCATTCGATGAGCCCCTTCCCGCTCCCTGTTTCATAAAATTTTTTGACCATTATATGCACCGTCCTTTTCTGTGCAGGTTAGCCAAAGAAGAGACTCCATCTTCGAAGGAGAACCGACAAAGTCGTTGCACCCGAATACCCCCTCGTCGGTAGGTTCAGTGTTTTGTGATTTTTTGGCCAACTAAGACCCCCTAACGTAACTTTCCGCAGGAATACATGTAAAATCGGCTAGAATCGGTCAGGCTGAGGCGAACTACCACTGTGGGCGGTGGAGCTGGCGTTGTGTCGGAACTCTAAAATTGACCGGTAAGGGTTTTCGACATCGATTTGGGCTTTTTGGGGTATTTTTAGTTGCGTGACGAGTTTTTTAGAATCCTACAGAAAAATTCAAGAAACTCGAGACCCGTTAAAAGGCAGCACGACGTCTTGAAATACTGATCCGGATAAGGATCTCTCACCCTATTCTCGGTTATGATAAATTGAGGATCAATAATCGATAATTATATATTTTGTGAAAAATTAAAAAAATTCTCAAATATTTAGGTCACTAGTGGAGCCAGAACCCGTTAGTTTACATTTGTTCTGATTCCCTGTTTGTTTTTCTGTACTGTCTATATTTGCTTACTATTATACCGTGCGTAATTGAATTGATGGTTTTTATAGTTTTCTCGGTTATTTGGTTCTTTCTACATTGTTTATCCGGTATTCTGGTTATTGGTTATTTGACTATACTAAACTATATCGTTTGTTTAAGTGTCATTTGAATTAATATGTAAATATGGAATAAGATGTTGGTATGTTTTAGTAGTTGCTTGGATGATAAGAGTCTAAATAAATAAAAACTTACTGGGCATCCTGGAAAAGAGTGGACGAACTCGGTACATAAAAAATACTATTGTGGACATTACCTTAGTCAGACAGAGCTGAAAAATTTTATACTAGAAGAGTTTTGGGAGATACAGTTCACTCTCATACTGGACGGGGTATCGAGGCGATGATATTTTTGGCTCCCATTGCCGGATGGAGTAAGGGGACAGTCGGGTTAATTGTCA